GTTAGGCTGAATATTAAAAGTTAAGTATCTCTGTATCATTAATAAAACTGAATCACTCAATAAGACCATTATTAGCCTGAAGAAGTTCCTTCTCAGAATGAAACCTGACACTAAAGAGGTGTGTGTTTCGTTTTTGTTTTTTTTCTGTCACTCCTTTTTGTCATTTGCTTACCCACTATTAGTCTGATATTAATTTCTCTGACAATACAACAAAATGAGAATTCATTTGAAATATATTTTATTAATAACAAACATGCAGTGATAAAATGGTCTTTTTGATTATCTTAGAATCCATTAAGTCAACTCTGAATATTCTTACCATTTATTCTTCAGTTGTTTTTCTCCTCAGTTCAAGAATTTCAACTTTCATCTTACCAGAAAATTGAATCTTTTTATAAAGCATATAAGCTTTGGAAATCCCTCAGTTTTATTTGATTTTATCTGGATTGAGTTAAACATTTTTTATGAGATGGGGACACTTAAAAAGAAAAAAATTGATCATTTTTTAAATTTTATTACCTGTAAATTATGAGTGGTTACGATAAGGTTCTTGACCTGACCAAAAGGAATAAGAAAAACTTGAAGTGGGCTGGACTGAACTTTTCAGAGGTGTGTGTATCTATATCTATATATATATATATATATATATATATATATATATAAAATGCTAGAACATTAATACTAGTGAATAATTTATGTCAAAATTATTTAAGAGAAAGTCTGACAAAGTGTCTAGGGTGATAATTTTTAAAATAGAAGTAAAAACATTCAACACTTATCAAAGGTCAGTTTGGTTTTGTAATTTTTGAGACACCAATCAGGATTATTAACATGAATTATTGCATTAATAACCTTTGATCAATACAAGTACTGAATGTTTTTACTTCTATTTTAATAATAATGTGTATGTGTACATATAATTTCACTCTGAAAGCCAAACACAACCACAGTCCAACAGGAATTGTAATTTAATATATGTGTGCAGTCTCTTTCTTCTTTCAATAAAATAAATCCCCTAAAATGCATGTGGGGGGAGACTAAAAGGAATCAAACAGCTTGTGAGAAATATTTTACTACCTGTCCAGTGTGTGGCTTATTATGTAAGTCAGCTGGCTGGCTGACCAGTCTTTCTATAACACACAAGGATATATTTCAAACAGTAAGCTTGAAAGATGGACAGTACAGTTGTTATATCTGCAAACAATCCTGCAACACTGAGGTTGGGCTAAAGAGTCATATGTGCACATTGTTGTGCAATGATCACTGAAAAGACACCATTATTCTGACAAGAGAGTGCAGTCATGAGATAGATATATATATATAATGACAAATTGGAAAGTTTTTGTGACACATTTCATTTGTTAGGACTTCATTGGACCTGCTTTGTTTACATTATGACTATGCATGAATGAGAGGTGCTGGGAGTTTCAAAATTTAGAAAGAATTAGAAATGTAAACAAACTCAGTCTGATGAAGTCCTAATGGCTGAAACATGTCAAAAACTTTTTTCCAATTTGTCATCTTTTCTTCCAAAACTGTTCTTGATATATAAAAATTTATATATCATTATCCTATTTTTATATATATATATATATATATATATATATATATATATATATATATATATATATATATATATATATAATGCACAGATACTACACACTAATCCTAGGCAGAGGATCACTTTAATCTTAGGCTGAAGTACCAGTTCATATGTAAATGATCTAATCATTTTTATATTCTTTTTTTATGAATACTAAACACTCTTTAATGAAAAGAATAACAATACTGTAATACGGCAGTCGATGTTTGTGCTGTGGCTTCAGAAGTTTGACAGGGGACAGCAAAGTTCTTAACAGATTCAATTATCAACTTTTATGTTACTTGCCTCCACATTAATTCTACATTTTGTATAATAATTTAAATACAGTTGAGAAAATACATGAAAATTAGTACAAGAATATTCAATAAATTAAGAAAAGTTCATGTGAGTTATCTGGTTGCTTTTGGTGTGAAACTCTTGAAGTCAACACTCAGAGGCGACACACATGCTAAACATGTGGCCTGATGATTGCGTTTAGCATGAAACAGTCTGTTGCCTCTTAGTGTTGACTTCAATGTTCGTTTTTATATTTACATACGTTCTATCTCTGATATTCAGCACTTTATCCCATAAATATTGCACACCTTAAAACTATGTTTCTTCACATACATACATACACATATATTATATATATATAAAATATGTGTGTGTGTGTGTGTGAAAAAATTTAATTTGTCTGATGGTCGCAAAAGCATGAAACCCAGGGTCACAAACTTCTATCTATACAACTTTACATATATATATATATATAATGAGAGAGGTATTTGGTTATGAAATGGACAGTTCAGCACCTGATGATGGCATATTTGTGTGAAACTTCTGGTAGCAGTTTTATTGGGTTTTCTGTTTGTATTTTTTTTTTTTTTAATATATTACTATATTTATAAAGGAAGAGCATTTCTAGATATAGTCAGTACAGACATGGGGATCAACATTGCATGGTGACTGTCAGTTGTACTCTTCAGTATGATCTTCAGACCCAGTCTTAATCTGAAAATCACATTGAAACATGACACTAATGGTAATCAACACTGTATGCTAAGATCATCTTCACTGTCTTGATCTTATGTGGGAGGAGAGAAAATGTTTTGGTTTAGACAAAGAAATAAATAAATGGTTTATCCTTCAGATTGTTTGACAATCAGTTAAGTAATAAATAAAAATAGTTTAATTTTGATCCTAAGTGTGTGCATTTGCTCATTTTTTTAGGAAACCTGAGCAATATGAAATTAGATTCCTAGTCATAAAATTAAATATATTTTGCTACTATATATATATACTATATATATATATATATATATATATATATATATATATATGTGTGTGTGGTGCAGTTCAATTTATATTACATGAATCATTCATACAAAAAGTAGATTAGTAAAGTTAATGATATAAAATGGTGAAAACTCTTTGCAAACAAAATTTTTAAAGTTACATTAACCTATGAACCACTCTATGAATGTTATGATCCTTGTTTTTAATAACTACAAGCTGTATAAGGTCTTTTTATAATCTGCTCGTACTTTCAACTGTACATACAGTCATCCTCAGGCATGGAAATTATTTTGATTTTAGTAAATCCAGGTAGCATCAGAGACAAAAAATTAAATGCGAATTGAAATATGTTTTTTTAGAAATGTGTTGTTGTTAACGGATAAAAACTTTTGGAGTGTGCAGTCGCAACACTAAGGTTGAATTTTTTTTGAAAATTTAAGAGTGCATTTTTTACTAATATTTTTAATAGTTTTTTTTTTTTATATCATTAACTTTACTAATCTACTTTTTGTATTAATGATTCATTGTAATATAAATTGAACTGCACCACATATTTGATTTAAAAGAAATGATCTGACGTGCAAATTTTTGGGATAACCAGTGAGACATTACTCTATCTATTGAATAATTTAGTTCATGCCATATTGACTGATAAATTCCTACAACAAAAAAATTCTCAAATTACCATATTAGTAAAAAAACACACTCTCTTAAATTTTCAAAAAAATTCAACCTTAGCGTTGCAGCTGCATGCTCCAAAAGTTTTTATCCATTAACAATAACACATTTCTAAAAAAACATATTTCTATTTGCATTTAATCTTTCGTCTCCACTACTACCTGGATTTACTAAAAACGATAATTTCCATGCCTGAGGATGATTGTATGTACAGTTGAAAGTACTAGCAGATTAAAAAAATGACCTTATACAACTTGTAGTTATTAAAAACAAGGATCATAACATTCATCAAGTGGTTTGTAGGTTAATACAACTTTAAAATTTTGTTTGTGAAGAGTTTTTGCCATTTTATATCATTAACTTTACTAATGAATGATTCATGTAATATATATATATATATATATATATATATATATATATATACACACACACAAAATTCTTATTCTCATGATAATTGCAATGTTGACATTCAGAAATTTTCTTTGAAATTTGAATTGATATAATATTTAAATAATTTAGCTGTAGTTAGTGACATCATTTTCTGGAATGTAAATTTCTTTAGCCATATCTTTCTTATAAATGGTCAGGGTCCATTTAAAACTTTTGCTCTTTTAATTTTACAAGAGTCTACCATCTTTTTTCAAGTCATGTACACAGAAGTGAACCATCCTCCTTCCCTTCATATCTTACTGAGAAGAAGAAGGAAGTTCCATTCAGACAGCTTCTTCCCAAAGAGCTCCTACTTTGTGGAACAGTTTCTCAAGAGAATGCTTCCTTAACCACTATAACAGCTTACAGCCATATCAAGTTGAAACATTAGTTCCAGTACGATCACCAAAGTTAATCTATGTTGAGCCTTGTCAATACCTAGATGGGAATACCAGATGCTGTAAGTGTGGATGTGCAGATGGTGTAATGGATAATGGCTCAGAATTGTTAATCAGAGAGCAGAGTTCCAATTGCAATTGGCTTCCTTATCTTCACTTATGCAGAAATACTCTTGAAAAAGATACGAATCCGCTTTTTCTCCAGATTATAATTTCTGGTTTGTTTATCAAATTCTGATTAAGTATGAATCCACTTCTCTCCCCCCCCGCCCCCCAGCAATGGATTAATTAATTAAGATTTGTATCACTAAACCATTATTATAATTATTAAAAAAAAAAAAAACTTCTTACAATCTAAAAATATTTACTTGCTTTAAATAAACTTTAAAGGGTTGATAAACTATAAAACTAATCAATAATCCTAATCCTAATCTCTTTGAGTTTCTGATCAATTTTATATATTATCATAATTTACAATTCTTATATCTATTAAAAAATACCATTCATTGACCTTCAGTAGCTCTTGGTTCTTGAACAAGGGTGAACAGTCATATTAAAAAAAGAAAAAAGTTATACTTATTTTTGTCTTAAATCTATTTTTCCATCTTTTTTTTCAGGCTGAAGAGAGTGAAGCATCCTCCCTGGAGAGTGGGAGTCATACACCGTCCGAAGGGGCACATTTCTCTTACGTTGACCTAACAACAATTGATGAATCAGCAGAGAACGCTGGTTCAGGTGACCATGGACCATCCTCTTCGTCTACTAATGATCCATGGGTTTCATCCAATAATGTTGGCTCCCACACATTCACTCTCGGAGAATCTTCAACTTCTACTGTTTCTCAAAATAATTGGTTGTCTTTTAACTCTCCAGAGAAAGAAAACGCTGTGAAGACGAGTGCAGCACCAGCTGTGCCCCCGCGACCTCCTGCATCAACAATTGCTGCCGTAGTGGCAGCTCTCCAAAATGATACCCCACCTACACCACCACCCAGAGGAAAGAATCCACGGAGAAAAACAAAGGACACGTCACTTATAAAATTTGAGTCAGAAGAGAGCGTGGAATTTGATCCGCTTGAAGAAAAGACGCAGGAGCCTGCCTCTCTGGCTGGACCAGAGGCAACCCCTACACCCCCTCCTCCACCTCCTCCTAAACCGAAGTGTCCCCCGCCGATAAGCCAACCCCCGGCTCCTTTACCTCGAAGAAGGCAGGCTGGTGGAAATGTTATATCTCGGTCTCCTGCTTTTCGAGTAAACAAGCGAGGAGCAGGTCCACAGTCCTCTGCTCCTGCTGTCTCTTCCAGTCCGCAGGATCGGTCAAAATCAGCAGAAAAGAACTTAGCAAATTACAATAGCAATGATCCCAACCTGCTGTTTGATCCTCTACTGATTGATTCCTCCACTTCGGACCAGCTGGAGAAAGACCAACCGCCAAGCAGTGCAACAGGAGCAGACAATGACGATGAAGAAGAGCTACTACAGGACTGGAATTTCCACAAAAAGAATCCTTACTCTACCCGACCGAATACAACCGTTCCTTCTTCCTCCCCCGTTGTTGCTGCTCCACAACGGCTTCAAAACACCAGCCCTCTTCCGACACCCCTTATCCCTTCTCCCTCATCTACCTCCCCAGTGCCATTCCGATGCCGACCACAAGTCGGTATTGGAGGAACTGGTGGATATGGCCGTTTAAGCCGGCATACATCAGTCGATGTAGATGTCAGTCAAAAACAATCAACTGAACTGTTTGCTGACCTTGTGCATCTTCATAAAACCAAAAGCCGGACACCTTCTCCACAGCCAAGGAATTGGAAGACATTCCAATAGGTTTATTTTATTTTTGTTTGTTTCTTTGGGTTTTTTTTTTTTGTTTTGTTATTTTTTTTTTTCTCTTAGACTTGCTGCTTCCATGTCAACTGGAATAATGCCAACAACAAAACTATAGAATTGGATTTATTATCATTTGATACTTTCTGTCAGGTGGGGAAGAAAAAAAAACATAAATCCCTTAAAAACAAACAAAAAACAAACTTTTTAAAGAAAAAGCAAAAAAAAAAAAAATTGTTTTCTTAGAACACAATTCTTTAAAATTCAGGACAATTTAAGAAAAAAAACAAATAAAGACAATTATGAAATTCCCAATCTAGAAATTGAAAAAAATACATAAGGTAAATGAAAATTAATTTTTAGGACATCATTTGGTGGTTCAAACTCTTACACTTCTTCTTTACTTCTTCTGATTTTGGTTGAAATTGGCAAATATATTCTTGATTTATTTGTTTCTTTTTTTTTTTCTTTTTTTTTTCCCCATGAAAACTTTTGCGTCATTGTCAACTCTCACTCCCCCCCTCTCACTTCCATTGAAGTAATTTGTAGTATTTTTGCCCATCCATCTGTAAAATGCAAGCATTGTCTTTTTCTTTTTCATTATTGTCTATTATTAATGATAAAATTGATTTCTCTTCAGTGAATATTGATTTAGATTCAAAGTCTTGGTCATTTGCATTGTTTTATGTGGTGATCTTTTATGCCAAGTCCAGCTTAGAAGATCACCACGTCCTATATTTTAAGAGATTCTGAATTGCAAATGTCTTTGCCAACAAAACTTTCAAAAAAGTATCCTAGAAATTGCTACAATATGAGAACTCAAGGGTCACTTCCTTCCTGGTCACATTAACAGACAATGAAGCCATTTTAAGTGGAATTGCTTATAGTTTATAAATAAGAACAGCAGCAGCTGCTAAATGTTGCAAATCTATGGATTAGTTGAGCTCTACTAATCTGGACTATTCCATGTTTATTGCTTTGTTCTTTCTTTGACATTCATTTCTATTTGTCAGTTCTCATAGACAATAATTTTTATTTATTTTTAGAAGAAAAGAACTAACCTTTTTAAAAAATCTTCTGTTTCTAATTGTTTACAACTAAAAACGGAACTTTTCTAAAAAAAAAAAAAGTTCAGCTTTTAGAATCAGTTCTTCTGTTAAGATTTGTTTAGTCCCAGAAAAATGATGTCATTGCCTTGATATTTGATATTAAGTGATGACAAACAAGAATGAAACAACAAAATATTTTAACATTTTCTTTCCATAAATAGATTTAGAAATTGTTTGTTTTTTGGTACTGCGAATGTTCTTGTTTGTTACTTAAAGTAGATAAATGTTATAAACATCAAAGTAACGTTAAAGTAGACTTTGATGTGGGGAGAGGCAGGCAGCTGTTGTTGACAGATTTTTTTTTTTAATATTTGGGAGACTGAATTCCAGATGATAGATAGCAATTAAATGGCTATTATTTGCTACAGCCTGTAATTTATTCCAGGGAGGAGGGCTTCAAACACATGTTATCATCCAAGGATTGTTTGGAAACAATTATTTTTTTTTTTATTTATTTACTTTGCTGTCACCCACCCATTTTGGGCAGGTCCATTCTCCAGCATTCTTCAAATTAATGTGTCATTCAAAGAGAATTCTTAAATCCTCCTTTTTTTTTGTTCCCAATAATGTTTCAAAAAAGTTTATTTAATGTTATATTCACTTTGATGAAATCTAAAGAATTTATAATCAGCTGAAAGTATTAAAAAAAAATGAAAAGGTGAGGATAATAGTCTAAAAGAAATCTTGAATAACTTGTTGATTGTTTTCTTGGATATTCAGAAAAAGTGAATGTCTGTCTTAGTTTTACTGAAACAACATATTTTGCAGATTTCAGCAAAACGCATTCTTGGTTTGGTTTTAAGAAAGTCAATTTCTCAATCCCAAACCTGATTTGGCTCCAACTGATCAATTTGTCTATTCTGGTGACAAAGAAGGCAATTTTTTTCTTTTTTTTTTTTTTTTCTCACTTGGCTGCTCTCTGCCATTTTGAAAATTTTGGATTTTGTGATTCCAAGGCAGCCATCACAATTCTTATTTAGTGAAAATGTGTTGAGGTTAGGGGGAGTGATGGGAAAAAATCATGTGTTTAGATTTCCTACCAAATTCTTCAAAGTGGTCATTCTTCGTAAACATTTTTCAACCAAAATTTTTCTATCTCCCTGCTTTAAAATTTAGGAAAAATTGTTTATTTATTTATTTTTTTTTTTTAAATTTTCTTTTCTGAATTGTCAGCTAAAACTATTTTGCCAATTCTCACCTTGTGGCTTGCAAATTCTCTTTGAAGATTAAAAAATTCCTCTAAAGTTAAACAGAACTTGTAACATTAAAATATTAATTAATGAAAGCAAATAAAAGGCAGAAGTTCTTTGAGAAATATTTGATTGAATTGTTGAAGTCTATTGTTGAAATATGTAAGAAGAAAATGAAATGCAATTTTAAAAAATGCATAAATTTAGGGCTTTTTTAAAAAAATTAAAACTGACTCATTGGGTTTATTGTTGATGTCTATTTTGGTTAAGAATTTTATTTAACAATATTAAGATAGTTTTTTTTGTTGTTGTTTTTTTTTTTTGTCTGATTCTGTAGAGAAAAAATGAAAAAATTGTTAAAAAAAATCTTTAAAAGCAGAAAATGTTCAATAACTAAGAAAACATTTGAGGGATGGATTTTGAAAATCCCTTCTTGAGCATCCTTTTTTTTTTTTATCTCTCTTTAAAATTTTAATTAATTAAATTAATTTGAAAATTAAAAAAGACAAAGCATTTTGTAAAATAAGCAAAATAAACATTTTTTTATTTCAATATTAAATAAAAAAAAAAAAAAAACCCAGTCATAAAAAATGTCTGAACAAATTTCAACAGATCTTCCACCTGTAATTTATTTCTTTTATCTATTAAAAACATTTTCTCCAAATTCGTTAAAAGAATCAACATTCCCAATTTCTTCTTGGATGGCATCTCATATCTGAGACTCTTTTAAAAGAATTCAAACATTTTCTCTTTTTTCCTCTGACTTATTTGGTTCCTTCCTCTGAAATTCTTGTATTAAGTCAGTGACTTGATTCTTGCCAAATAAGGAATGTACATGTGAGAGGGTGTGTGTATGTCTGTCATATATATATATATATATATATATATAAGCCATATATTTTATAGACAAAAATGTTACTTATATTCAGTGTATGCTTGATATGAGGAAAGTTTTGCATTAAGACAAAGGTGATATTTGTTAAAATGTTGATCAGCAAATTTCACTAAATGAGTCCCAAATCTTGTCTATTTCTCTGCAACAATTAAAGTTGAAAATTGAAGGGGAAAAATAATTGGGATAAAAAAAAAAAAATACAAAATATCAAAAAAAGTCTCCTGTTGTTGTTATTTTTCTTTTTATCTTTCTTCTCTTGAGATTCTGCATTTTTATATTGAGGACAAAGAAATGACTAAATTGTTTTTTTTGATTTTCTGATGTTAATGAAAAGCTTAATAAACTAACTAACTTTTTTTTTGTTTTTTAAACTTAAATGTCATCATTGTCAACAATTAATTTTGACTCCCAAAAATTCAAGATCAAATACGTCAAAAAATAATAATGGTTAACAATGTCATATTTAAGTGAAAACTAAAAATAATACTTGACAGGGTTGAAAAGTATTTCTGCAGCCTTGTAAGTGATGAATTCCACCCCCCTTTACAGCCACTTTCCCCACAAAGAAACAATTGCTAGCCTCTTGCTTCTCTATTGTTATTTTTATGGCAGATGTTCAGGCAAACTACATTCTTCAGTTCCACTGGTCCAAACCCTTGCAGGTGTGGGGGTGGTGTAATAGCATCTCAGAATGAGAAATCAGATTGCAAGTTCAAATTTCAGTTGGGTTTGTTAAATTCACTTGTGTGGAAATACCTTTGGAAAAGGTATGATGTCAACTCTTCCCCTCCAGCTCTGGGTTAAATAGTAGGACTTGTATCTGGAAATTTAAAAAAAAAAACAATAAGGGTTGATAAGCTGTAAAAAAAAAAAAAAAAAAAAAATCTAAATTTTCACAGCTGGAACCTGTTGTGACATGTACACTGAGGTGACTCATCCCTTTGTATTTCATTGGTCAAGAGGAAGTTGAAAATGTCTTTTTCCTTGAGAAAATATTTGGAGTCTTCTGTATGTCTGCTTTGAAACTGACCAACATTGCATCAGGGGTTCATATTGTATAAAAAAGCACCCATTAAAGACAAATTATTGATTTACACAAAATGAAATGAAAATCAAAAATTAATATTTGGATAGAAAATTTCCTATTTATTCACATTTCCACTGATTCTTGTGTCTTCAGCTGAACTGTCCAATCCTTTCAACTAATGGCCCTTCTATTAGGACATTCTAATCAATACTTCTATTAAGACATTCTAATCAATACTGAATTAGTTAAGAACCTCACAATGCAGGGCCGCCTTTCAGACAAGCAATATGACTTTCGTTTCTCTAGGGTCAACTGCTTATGTATTAACAATTATTGTGTAAAGAAACTATCAAGCTTTTGATAAGAATGGTAAAGCTTTGGCTGTTGCTTTGGGCATCTCAAAAGCGGTTGACAGGGTTTGGCAAGTCAGTTATGGTGTCTCCAGCCAAATTTTTGAACTAATTCAGTTTTTCTTTTCAAATCATGAAATGAAAGTTATCCTAAATGGCCACTCTTCTAGATCCTTCTGTACTAATGCAGATGTCTCCCCCCCCCAGGTCTCTATTCTTTGTCCTACTTTGTTTTTAATTTTCATGATGACATTGGTTCTGTTTTTGGTTATCTATGTTGATAATAACCATTTACTCTTGTCTTGGTACTAAGTCTGATCAGTTTGATAAGGTTAGAGGTTGATCTCAGAAATGACCTACAGTTTGTTGTTAACTGGGGCAAAGAATGACTTGTTAATTTTAATGCCTCTAAAACAAAACTGCTCTCTA